CAGGTTTTGTAAATGACATCCTTTTTTGATAATGGTGGAGAGTGCCATGGACAAATGCCAACAATTACATCAGAAAAATCCTGTCTCAAAACCAAGGAAAAATGTCATAAACACCACATATATTCTGTATTAACATTTAAATTAAAAAAAATAATTAACTTTCTTAAAATTTATTTTATTCTAAGCAAAATTCCAGACAAACCCAACTCGGTCATAAAATCCTAAGATACTCCCAGGAAAGTGTGATTTCTTAGGAAAGTGGCTGTGTTCATGTAATTTTCCACTGAATGTAGAGTAGTGACATGCCATTTGAAGTCTCAGGTGACTCTAATATGAACACTACAAACATTCAAACTTAGGGATAATAAATAATAGTGCCTTGAATCCCTTGGCTAACAAAGGTTTCAAATATAGCCCAGAGTCAGGTAAATGAGCAGGCACAAAACTGTCATCATCAGATACTATCAACGATATCAAACAATCTCCACAGTTTTCTCATCAGGTAACAAGGAAGAAGCAAAATAAACGTAAATCAAGTATCTGCCAACTGACAAGCTTTTTATTTCCAATAAAATGTGTTTTATAATGACTAAACCCAAAGCAGAACATCAGTACTCAACTATTCATATCTGTTTTGAATTGTTGCTTGAACTGGTGATGTGAAGAAAAAAAGTGACGCATGCAAATTCAAAATAAAAGAATTCTATAAACTAAACTTTGCCTACATACATGACTTAGCTGATTGCTTCTCTCTGAGAAGAACTGACTGGAAGTATATGGTCCTCTCAAATGCCATCTTGAGGAGGGGTAGGAAGGCAGAAGAGTCCAAAATGAGAAAAGATTTAAAAGGTAGCCTAGGGGGGAGTGGGGGGAAGATGGTGGCTTAGGAGGACACTGGGTTCACCGCGCATCCTGCTGATCACTTAGATTCCACCTACACCTGCCTAACTAACCCAGAATACCACCAGAAACTAGCAGAATGGAGTTCCCGGAACCAAGCGCAGACGAGAGGCCCACGGAAGAGGGGCCCCTCCTGAA